ATGTTATTCTTTCTATGGCCTTTAAAAATAACAGTTATCAAATCAATATCATAAATTAAGCATGATTCTTTTTCAAAAACAATTTTAAAACATTTATCACAAAGTTGACTAATACTAAGTAAATTATGTTTAAGACCATCAACTAATAAAACATTATCAATGATAGGTTTGTTTGGATTACCGACAAATCCAATACCGATGACTCTTCCTTTGTTGTTATCTACAAAAGTAATGGTACCACCATCCTTGTTTTGAAAAGATGATAACAATTGTATGTTTCCAGTCATATGTTTGGAGCAACCATTATCCAAAATCCACCTATCTTTCTTGGGTACCTGAAATAATAAACATTTACATTTTGGTACCCATACTATGTTGGGTCCTTTAAATTAGCCTTTAGGAAACCAAACCCATGAAGAGTTTGATTTGCCTAAATAGTTAGGTGATAAACAAATATTTTTAATAAAATCAGAAATATAAAAATTCTTATGTAAAGAAGATAATTCTTTTGGAACCCAAATAGAAAAGAATTTTGATTTCTTTTTACACAAATTTTCAGTTCTATAATCATACAAATCATGAGAAGGTTTTACAAAAATTGTTTTCTTTGATTTATTTTTATTAAATTGAAAACCTAATCCTTTTGTCTTTTGTGATTTTCGTTGAAAAGAAAGAATATTATTAAGATTTTCTTTACCTTTATTAAATTTGCTTACATTTAAACATATGTCCTCATATCTTGATTTAAAAGAAGAAATATCTTTATCTAAACTATTAATTCTAATATTTAAATCATTACATTCTGATTTTAAATAATTATTCTCATTAGATAAACATTCATTTTCTTTAAGTAAAGAAAAATTTTCTTCTTTCAATTCAATTATTTGAGAATTATAAAAAGTAGAGGAATTTAAATCAGAAATTTCTTCAAGTAATCTTTTATTTTCACCTTTAAGAAAATTATGTGATGTTTTTAATCTTACAAAAGTTTCATATAATTCATTGAAAGCATCTAAAAGTTCTTTATTTTCACTTACTTCATCTTGTGCCATGAAACACATGTGAGCACTTTCCTTTTCTTTAATTTCTTCATCTGAAGATGACTCATCACTATCATCCCAAGTGTCTGTCATTGTTTTCCTTTTCTTGTTATTTTGAATGTTGTTGAAATTGTTGAAATAACTTAATTTTTGCTTATTCTTTAATATTGGACAATCTTTCTTCATATGCCCTGGTTTATTACACTTAAAACAAAGAGAGTTATTTGAAATTGAACTCTTAGATTTAAAATTACATCGTTTTATAAATTTCCAAAATTTTCGTGCAAACATACCCATTTCTTCATCATCACCATCTGAATCTTCTTTATCGGAAGTAGTATTGAATGCAAGAACTTTCTTGTTCTTTGATTCTTCATCATTCTTTTTATCTTCAATTTGAACTTCATATGCCATAAGATTACCAATAAGATTTTCAACCGTAAGAGTTGACAAATCATTGGCTTCTTCTATAATGGTAACTTTCTTTTCCCATTGTGGAGTAAGTGATCGAAGTATCTTTCTTATCATCTCCACTTGTGTATATGTTTTTCCAAGACCAATGAGAGAATTTGTGATGTCGGTGAATCTTGTGAACATTTCTCCAATAGTCTCATTTTTCTTCATCTTGAACAATTCAAATCTGTGCACAAGAACAGAAATTTTAGATTCTTTAACTTTATTTGTACCTTCATGAGTTACCTCAAGTGTATGCCAAATATCGTATGCAGATGTGGCCGTTGACGCCCCATTGAACTCATTCTTGTCAAGTGCATAAAATAATACATTCATTGCTTTTGAATCCAAATTTGCATTATTTCTTTGAGAAGTAGTCCATTCTTCAAAAGGAGTTGTTGGCTTCTCATATTTTGTTTCCACGACGTTCCAAAGTTCGTAGCCAATTGATTGAAGATAAATCTTCATTCTGCACTTCCAATAGTTATAGTTCAATCCATCGAACATTGGTGGATGATTTGTTGAGTGACCTTCTTTGAATTGTGAAGAATTTGTCGATGCCATCTTTCACCTTGCTCTGATACCAAATGTAGGATCTGAAATAAATACACTTGAACACTAGAGGGGGGGTGAATAGTGTTCTTTTAAAATTTATGCAAAGTATATTATAAATTGCAAAGAAAAATGGCAATATCAGAAATTCACAATCACAAACACAAGGATTTTATACTGGTTCCACCAATCCGGTGTACATCCAGTCCCCAAGCAAATTCCGCTTGAGAGTTTTCACTATGATTTTGAATAAACTTACAAAATCAAACACAAACCTGACCAATTTGCAAGTCCCTGCAAATTGCAACACCAATTGACAAACACCTTGCCAATTTGAACACCAATCTCTAAACCAAGAGATTAACCCTCTCAAACCCGAGAGAAATCCTTATTGAAGCAAGAACACAATTGATCCTATAAGCCTTGAATGTGTAGTGAAGTGCAGCAGTGGCTTAAAACTCTTTTTAACCTCTGTAAATTGCCTAAACAATAAGTATTTAAATGATGTTTAGAGGTAATTTCAGAAACTCTTCTTTTTCTCAAAAACTGAATATTTTTCACTTGAAAAATTGCACAAAGATCAAAGCTTATGGGTATGTTTGTCTCTGCAATTTTTCTGAACAAATAACCTATTTATAACCCTTGAAAAGACAATTTTTTGAACTTTAAAAACGTTTAAAACGGCTATAAACAGTCATAAATTCAAACTTTGAATACTGAAAAAACTGTATCTGTAGTCGACTACAATGAACATTAGTCGACTACACTGAGTTCAAACAGACTCTGTGTTTTCAGAAATTTTCTCAGTAGTCGACTACAAAGCTCATTAGTCGACTACACTGTATTTTGACAGAAACTTATAAAATGAAATTTACGTTCAGTAGTCGACTATAGTGTAGATTAGTCGACTATACTGTAAAAAGACAGAAACTTATGTTTCTGTAAAACACCTGAGTAGTCGACTATAATCACTATTAGTCGACTATACTGTAAATTGACAGAAACACATATTTAAGACTTATACACAAGTAGTCGACTACTATTCTAATTAGTCGACTATTAAGAGTAAAAATTATGATATAAAATATTTTTATACTTAAGTTTTAACTATATTTCTAATGGTTAACATAGGGGATTTCTATAGTTAACCAACACACTAAGCTTGTGTTAGTGTGTTCTAATTTTGTGTGTGTGTATGTGTGATCAAGGCTTGTACAAAAATTCTAAGTAAAGAAAATGTAAAATACATTATCTCATCTGTTCTTCATTTTCTTCACTTCATAATGCCTTGAAAACATCTTGCACTTGTTCATATTCTGATATTGAAATCTGCATATAAAAGTTAGTGCACACACTGTATAAATTGTTATCATCAAAATACTATTATGGAGATATGATATTCAACAGAAACAATGATGGTTGTGAAAGGAGACGGTATTTGAGAGATGATATTTGAAAGATATGACGAATATTCTAGAAGGAAAATGAAAAGATGGAGATGGAGAAATAGGAGGAGAGAGGAGGATGGAATTGGAACAAAAGAGGAGATGAATGAGAGGAAAATAAAAATGACATAGAGGAGAGAGGAGAAGAGAAGAGGATGAGTGGAAGAAGGAGAGGATAGAAGAGGAGGGACGAGTATGAAGTCGAGATGAGAGAGAGAGAGAGAGAGAGAGAGAGAGAGAGAGAGAGAGAGAGAGGAGAGAATGAAATTAGGTGATCAAATGAATAGGATGGGGAGGAGGATGAGCGGAGGAGAGGTTATGGCGAAGGTAGGTTGGGGGAGAAGAGAGCAGGGTGGAGATAGGATAGAAAAGAGAGGATAATGTAGGAGTTGCCATGGAGAAAAAGAAAGAGTACAAGAGGATGAAGAAAGATATGAGAAAGAAAATGAAAGCTATTTTGGGGATGACAGAAAAAGATGAGTTGCTTAGGATTTAAACACAGAAAAATGATAATTTTTGGGCCTAGTTACATGCCCAAAAAAGTGAGGGCTTAGGGCAAGTCTGGTATTGCTAGAGTTTCTAATAAGTTTCTTATGAAAACAACTTATGTAAGCAATTAATTTATACAAGTTGTTAAAAATAATTGTTTGGCAGATAAATACCAAAAAATGCTTAAAATACAGCTAAGGTGTTTAATAGAACTTTGCTTAATGATCACTGTTAAAAGGTATATATGGTATACAAACTAAAGAAAAACAAAAGCTATTTTTAAGTAGAAGCTATTTTTTAAAGTATTTTCAGATTGCTTCTAAAAGCACCCCTTAAAAGCAGAAGAAATTTTAATAAGCACGCAAATTTCTTTTTTTACTAAACACCATTATTATCTGCTTATTTGAAAGAAAAAAAAGTGGTTTCAAATAAGTGGATACACTCTTAAAAAAATAATACCAAACTGACCCTTAGCGGCTTAGCCACATGTTGTTCTCAAATTTTGGGCCTGGCGAAGAATTTCCTTTGTTTTGTTCGCAAGTTAGCTACCACGGATTTGCCGTGGCCCAAACTAAAACCCTAATTGTTAGCTCGAGGCCCCTATATACGGGCAGTCCACATCCAGCCCAGTTGCAAACCTAGGGACTAAAATTGAGTCGGTTATTTGCTAGACCCAAAACCCGAAACCGCCAGCTCTAGGCCCCCACCGTCATTGCAACTGCCTCTATAAATACCCAATCCCACCCTCATTTCCACCCCCTAATTATTTTTATTCCTTTCATTTGCACCCCCTCTTTCTCCTCTCAAGGGGGGAAAAGAAGAAAAACGATAAAATCTAACAGTAAAGCCCCCCACTCTCAAAAACCCTAGAAATAAGCCTATCGATCCAGAGCCCAGATCTCTAAACCCTAACATGTGGAACAGCGGAGGAGCATCCTCCTCGTCTTCGTCG